GGAACAGGCGATGGGACAAGAGGGAACGGCCTCAAGTTGCGCCAGGGGAGGTTTAGGGTGGATATTAGGAAAAATTCCTTCATGGAAAGGGCTGTCAAGCACTGGAACGGGCTGCCCAGGGCAGTGATGGAGTCGCAGTCCCTGGAGGTATGTAAAAGGTGTAGATGCGGTGCTGAGGGACACGGGTTAGTGGTGGGCTTGGCAGTGTTAGGCTGATGGTTGAACTTGATGATTTTAAAGGTCTTTTCCAACCTAAGCAATTCTAGGATCCAGACAGGATTGCGGGGCCAGCGGCTCCTCCCAGCACTGGGGCAGCTCGCTGGGAGTCACTCTTCCTCCTCAGCTGCCAACCTGAGGCAAAAACCTGACCCGGGTGGATGTGGGGAGATGAGGAAATCGCCCTGTTTCTGTCCTGTCCACGCAGGGTTTTCTCTCCCATCGGTGCCTCAGATGGTGATTTCCACTGTGGTGTCTCTCCGAGCACCTGCACTGCACTCAGCAAGCGCGCCGGGGCTCTGCGCGTCCCCTCGCCCGCGCGTCCCCCTGCGATGGTGGGCAGGCCGCCCAGCTTTATTTACATCCCCCGACCTTTATTTAAGCCAGCCGCTTCCCCCTCTCTCTCTTTCTCCCCTCCGTCCCTGCCACTGCTGGGGACCAAGGATGGCCACCGCCTCCTGCGGAGGGACCCATAGGTGTCACCAGCCGAGCGCTGCGTCCCCGCTGTCCCTCCCGTCCCATCCGCCTCCCCGGGCTGTCAACTCATCCCCCGCTCTCTGCCCTCCCAGGTTTCCTGGAGGATGGAGCCGGCGTCGGTGAGGACCAAGGTGCCCTCCTTCCTGTCCGACCTGGGGAAGGCCACGCTCCGGGGCATCCGGAAATGTCCCCGCTGCGGCACTTACAACGGCACCCGAGGCCTGATCTGCAAGAATAAGAACTGTGGGACCGTCTTCCGCTACGGCACGCGCAAGCAGCCCAGCGTCGACGCCGTCAAGATCATCACGGGCTCCGACTTACAGGTTTATTCGGTGCGGCAGAGGGACCGGGGACCGGATTACCGGTGCTTTGTGGAGCTGGGGGTCTCGGAGACGGCCATCCAGACGGTGGACGGGACCATCATCACGCAGCTCAGCTCCGGCCGCTGCTACGTACCGTCGTGTCTGAAAGCGGCCACGCAAGGCGTGGTGGAGAACCAGTGCCAGCACGTCAAACTAGCCCTGAACTGCCAGACGGAGGCCACCCCGCTCACCCTGAAAAGCTCGGTGCTCAACTCCATGCAGGCTTCGCCCGAAACCAAACAAACCATATGGCAGTTGGCGACCGAGCCCACGGGGCCGCTGGTGCAGCGCATCACCAAGAACATCCTGGTGGTGAAGTGCAAGGCCAGCCAGAAGCACAGCCTCGGCTACCTGCACGCCTCCTTCGCCCAGAAGATGAGCGCCAAGACGCTGACGGACCACAGGTTCTCCTGCTCCTGCCAGGCTCTGAAGCCCGGCAAGGGCAGCCCGGCCGAGGAGGAGGCGCCGCCACCGCGTTGCATTCATTTCTTCGCTTGCATCTGCGCCTTCGCCAGCGATGAGAGCCTGGCGCAGGAGTTCGCCGACTTCCTCGCCTACGACTCTGGCGGTAGGTGGGGGAAGCGACGCGCAGAGGATTTCGGGGGGATCGTATCGGGCCGATGCCACCTGCTGCCTTCCCTCCCTCCCACTCGCGCTGAGGCAGCTGCCTCGCTTCGCCTGGGCTGCCCTCACATCTGCTCCCTATCAGCGCTTCGTTAGCTGGGGCTTCATTTCCTGCCCCCTCCCTCTGCAAGGAGAGAGCTTTGTGGGGAGTGATTCCTCCTGAGCTATAGCTCCCTTCTGGCTCCCAGCGTGCGGGGTGCTCCCTGTGCTCTCCCGGGAGCCGGTTGGGGGGCAGATCCCGCCGGGCTTTGCCGTGAAGGGTGCTCGGGGTGAGTCGGGTCCCTCTTCTGGACTGGGAGCTGGTTGTCCTCTTGCCTTTGGGCCAGAGCAGTGCTGGGGGAAGCCCAGCTCGTTGCGAACCCCCCTCCCACGGCAGCAACCTCTGGTGTTCAGTCTGCCGGGGGGTTGTGCACCCCGATAGGCGCGCCTGGATAATGCCGCACTGTCTTTAGGCACCCAAAGGTGAAAATCGGCCCCGAGGAGAGCGACCTGGGTGATGTGAGTGAATTAAAGGCGCTATTCATCTTAATGTTCTTCCCCAATAAGCGTGTCTGCAGGGTCAGGAGGGCTTTGGGGTTTCTCTGAGGATGTTTGGGGTGTGCTGGGAGGTCTCAAGGGACTAAACGCTGGTGTGGGGAGGGGGGTGTGCGACCCCACATCCCTGCAGTGCTGCTGCTTGTGTTTGAGATGCTTTTAAGGACAGAGTCTTGTTTCTCCTAGGTCTGAAAGGGATGGTGGTCCCGCAGTTGGTCGGCAGCCCCGAATCCACGGGGCAGGCTGGGGAGGCGGCTGCTGCCAGGCCCAAGAAGAGGAAAAAGGACATAACGCCCGGTGAGTGCCTGCTGGGGGCTCTGTGGGACGAGGCGGACGTGGTCCGAAGCCAAAAGCCAATGCCCAGCCAGCACGACCGCGGTAGGGGCAGCTCTGCAGTGACCTACCAGACTCGTAGCCGGCCGTGTGCTGTGTCCGGTGCCGATGGGAGCTTTGGGAGCGGCTCTGGCTGCCGCCATGCTCCTGCCCGGAGTCCAAGTGGGTCTTTTAGTGACCATTAGTGGTGTTGAGGTGGCAGGAGCTGTGGGCACAGCCCACTCTGGGGAGAGAGAGGGGATTTCTCCATCCCACCCGCCCTGCCCGGGGCAGGGATGCCTGCATGCGGTGCCCGTGGACCCCCGAGACTTGTGCACTGACCCTCTCTGGACCGATCCCTCAGGGGTGCAGGCGACCAGCCCTCTTCTGGCTCAAGATCA